TAGCGAGTGCGCTGATAATCTGAAACATGTAAATAGTTTTCTCAAATAGTCATTTTCAATAAAATCAAGATATTTTTCATAACCAAATTCTTTCTTAAATTTTACATAATAATCAAGTTTGGACATACTACGAATAGAACCACTCCATTCTTGTTTAAACTGATCTCTTAATCTGCATTTTAAGATACTCATAGAAATATCGTCGTTGAAATTGTACCAAATATAGCCGTACCCGAGAGAATCTAGAAGAGATTTAACATGTTTTGCCCATAATATGCAATTTTGATTGTATGTTTCTTGATATTGCAGTTGAAAAATGTTATAAATAAGCGAACTTTATTTCTGTTTAATTTCACCCAATAGTTCAAAACTCTCTCTTTACATAAGATAGATATCGGATATCTTCCCAATTCTCCAAGTACAGCCATATTTTGTGTAAACATTTTAACACCTAGAATCTTTTTACAGAACTTCATTTGAATTCTATCTAGAACATCTGTATTGTAAATACCAAAGACTTCAGCACAATATAGTAGTATTGGTTCTACCATCCTGTCAAAGAGCAACAGTTTAGTCTTAACATCAAACTTTATTCTTGAGAAGATTGAATACAGGCTGTTTACAGCTTTTAATGCGTGCTCTGATAAAGATTTCATTGCATCATTCATAGACCCATTATACTTAAAGTTAACTCCAAGGTAACAAAATGTTTCTACAACTATTATTTTCTCACCATTAATAAACCAATTATTATCATTTTTTTTTTCTTTTTCTAAATACACAAATATTTGTTTTCTTAACATTTATTTTCAGACTCCATTTAACAGAATATACGTATAAACTATCTAGCTGCGCTTGGAGACTTTGTGCATTTTGTAGTAAATACCACCATATCGTCTGCAAATAGTAACATATAAATATTCAGATAATTTAAATCTGCTTCTGACAGCGCATTAAAATCAAGGTTTACGGTAACATCATTCACGAAAAACAATATAAAAAGTATGGGCGAGAGTGGTTCCCCTTGCTTTAATCCAAACGAAACATCAAAAAAATCAGATTAAGTTTGTATGTGTCTTAACACAAGCTGAGACTCTGTAATAAATAGCCTTTAACATATTCACCATTTTGCTGCTAACACCAATTTCAAATAACTTGTACCACAGTGCATCTCGAACAACCGTATCGAATGCTTTTTTCGTAATCAATAAAAGCACAATAAAGAGATTTATTTTCTGACAGCAATTTTTGAATTAAGCTATGCAGAATATAAACGCAATCTACCGTGCTTCTGTTGCAACAAAAATTCCGGGAAATTGCATTCATTAAAAACTGATGTTTTTTCCCCACCATTTTGTCAAAATCGATTTCTTAAACATAAAAAAAATATTTTAAGCCAGGGTATTTATAAGTAAAATTTCCTCGAAATTATTGGGATCACTTTTACCCCTTTTTTTATTAATAGAAGGGAGGAGGGCCCTTTGCCCAATTAAAGGATAAACCTTCACTAAAATATTTTTTTTTAAAAAAATTGTATTTAAAATGGAGTGTTTAAATTTTTTGGCATAAATTTGAAAAAATTTGAAATTACCAAATTTTAATGACCAGGCCCTTATTTCGAGATAACGAGGAAATGGGCAATTACAAATCTTATTTTCAGGCGAAGGTTTTTATCTTAAAACATCTATTTACAATATTTAGAAAATTATCATGGGATAAGTCATTTAACATTGCATCATCATGTGCTGGCTTATTTAAAATATCAGCAAAATATGCAGAAAAACTGAGCTTCATCGATATGATTACTATTTGTACTTTTTAGTGCTCCTATACCTATTAATTTTCCTCCAGAATTGTTTTGGTGATTTCTGACTCAATTCAAATAAGCTTTGTTTCTCCTTATTGAAATTTTTAAATTTAGTCCTACGTTTTAATATTACAAAAATGCCTTCTACTCTCTAAAAATGACATTCTATTCTCTATACAAGGGTTTTGGTTAAATTTTCGTTTTTCATAAAAAAATCTAGCTTTTGCAGTTTCTACATGCGTCATCAAACCGGGATTTTTTCGCTTTTTGACATTATTTTTCACTGACACTGTTTTTCCAAATACAGAAAAAGAGCACTCATACATAATTTCTGAAAAACCTGTTATGTTTGAATCTAAATCACCTTGGTTGTTTAATATATCGTTAGTTTTTTTAACAAACATAGATCTCTTAGATTCTAATACATCTAATAAGTCACGTGATCTAGTAGAATCCCCAAAACAATTTATCATATTTCGTATTTTGCATCATGGTTTATGTACATTATTTTGACAGACAATTTTAAATGAAATTGGACAATGATCCGAGAACTCGGTCATGTCTAAAACAGACATGTCTGATATATATTCGAAATTATTATATTTTGTAATTAAATAGTCAACAACACTTGCACCAGGTCTATTCCTGTTTACACAGTGGTATGTAAAGTCTCCCTTTTCTAACCGTCCGTTAGCAATTAATAAGTCATGCTCTTTACACATGCTAATTAGCTTATGTCCGAAGGAATTTATAACTGTGTCTTTAGATTTCCGTTGGTTTTGGGACGAAATAAAATTGTGGCAAGTCTAGAAATCTATCAAGGTTAATATTTTCGACAAAGTCTAACGCATCCCCTGTACGACTATTAAAGTCACCGCACAAAAAATACTTCCCCTAATGCACTATATAGTATTTATGTCATCGCTTAATGCATCGAAAAAAATCGTAATCAAACAGACAAGACTGGTTATTTCTGTATACTGACGACTCTTCAGGCGGGATGTAGCACGCGCATATGTAAAGATCTTTCTCCTCGTTTGCTTGGATGCACTTAAGTTTAATCCACATTATCCCGTTACGATTAATTTTAACCTGATCGATATTACAGTTAAGTGAATCTCTTACATAGGTTATTAATCCGCCACTATAACGTTTCGCTTTTTTATTGGTTTTCGGCCTCGGACAGTTAAAGGTAGTGTACCCATTTATGCTTATATTTGAAATACTAAAATTTTTCCTTTGTTTCAAAAAAGTTAAAGATTTTAAATAATTCGATATAAAAATTAAAAAATTCCTCTTTCTTTTAATTTTTTTACACAAGCCTTGTTTTATTCCTTTGTGGGAAAAACTTTTTTCACTTTTCGTTATTTCCTAGATTTGGTTCCTTTCGGGTTTTTACAGCTTTTTCTTTACCCTTGTGTTTGATCGTCGTCCCTTTTTTGACAATGCGGAATATAAAAAGGTTTCGCAAAAGGGCCTTCGCGTTTTGGCTTTCTTTAAATTTCCCGGGAATTCGCGGCGGGGGTTTTTCCCGGGGTAAAAGCCTTGGGAAACTGGCATTTGACCTTTTAGTTTTTAAACCCTTTTTTGCATACAGGGTTTTAAAAAGGAAAAATTTTTGCCCGGGATAGAATTTTGAACTTCGAAACTATAGGTTTTTTTTTTGGGCCCTGCTTTTTTTTGCCTGGCGATGTGTTTCTAACTCAAGTTTAATGGGTTTCTGGCGACATTGTTAAATTTGAAGCTTTGTTTTAAAAAAACTCTATAATTTGCGAACAATTTTCTAACCTTCGCTCTTCAATTGTGATTTTCTCCGGGAATCCGAAGAAAAGCAAATTGTTCTCCATTGACCTTGCTTGCCAAATCGACCCCTTCATCATTTAAAGGCGCTGATTTCGTTATTGGTTAGAGTTTCATATAGTTTTACAACAACACTTTGCCATTTTGGATTTTGCCCCCTTCTTCGTTATCGTTTTTGTCAATTTGGTTCTTGTTTTTGGTTTAAGAGTTGTCAACAAAATTTGTGAATCGATAATTACGACTTGCTTCTTTTCATTTAACCCTTGCGCCGATTGACTCATTCAAATCGGATTCCAAGCTACTTCTATATTCGTCTATCCAAAGACCCAACTTTTTCGTCAATACGCGTCACCCGTGTTTTCAATATTGTCTAATTTTCTCAACCGTTGATCCATTGATTCCCAGCTTATCCATTATCATTTTGGTTATAACTAGGGGGTACTGGTGTATTGTGTATTGGTTGTTTGAGCAGGTGTTGTGAACGAATAATGTGAAGGCTCGTGATACGACTGATTTTGTAGACTACTGTTCATCCCCGGGCTATTGTTCGTTGCATATACCCATTGTTTCATGTTTAAATTTTGGGGACTACAGTTAATATTTGCCTGATGTGTATTAGCGTTCATTAGTTGTTGTACATATCCCTGTTGAGACATTTTAGTATTGGGTGAAACTTCGCACTTAGCAAATCTTTTTACCTCGTGAGTTTCGCTCAGTTGGTTTGGTGATATTTGCGAAACAGATCTCTTTTGTGAACTTGAACGTCAAGCATTCTTCTTCTCTGACTTTTTACCCATTTAAATCCTACACATAGTATAAATCCACGTACTCTTTTGTTTATTGACAATAAAAATCACAATTTTAGTCCATCATCAACATAATAATTCCAGTTTATCTATATTTTTCTCCCAATTTAAAATTTTCTGACCACCATTTTCACGCATGCGCACCCACAAGTTATCAGAAAATCTTTTTTTAAGCATCTTAAAGATGTGGCAGGGCTTTTCACCTTCTGCAACCAGAAAGTTTATTACAGAGCGTTGTTTCTCTAACAAAGAGTCCATATTAGACGAAACACCTATCATAAATCAGAGGGCAAAATACTGTGTATACACAACTAACATTGAAAATAAACTGACCACGTTATTGGCGAATAAATGTAGTTTTCACCAATATATAATATGTGTATATAGCTGCATGTGGATATTTTCTGACCGTCCCTCGTAAACAAGCCAGGCAATTGTTTGTAGTGTGCATGTAAAGTTCTTGTTGCTTTTAATATGTTTAACATGACGGTTTTGTGAGTGCGACATACTGGAAATAATATTTCGTTTTTAATGATACTTACCTCAAAATTTATTAAGGGAAATTTTTTCAATTATTTATTTTCTAGAGCAAATGTGCCCTAGAGGGTGGAACTCTTGTGCAAATCGATAGCGAAGCCGTCAACGACTATCTGTACACATTGAGGAGTAACGAAGGTGAGATGATAACTCATAACTCAGATATTATAAATAATAAAGAAAAGATATCTACATAACTCTAGTGCGAACAATTTCATTTAAAAAGTTGTGAACACATGACTTCTAAAATGTAAGTCAAGAAATTTTGCTTACTTAATATTTTTGTGATGATTCTATGGTAAGCTTATTACTTTGATGAACTATTTAAATGAATTCTTTTACATACAACCCTTTTACATTTTCCGGTAAGTTTAACTTTAGAAAGCATCGGCACCGCTACGTGGTGTCTTTTCTTTATTTACTTTTAGTATTTTAATCAAAATTTCGATATAAAACTTCAGTATACAATAAGGAAAATTAGATTTAATTTTAAAACTGGATAATTGTCATACCTGACCTTACCCATTATGCCTCAGAAATGCTTTTAATGTTTTTTTTTCAAAAGCTTTTTGGGGTCCGCCTGGGCTCCTTGCCATTGGTTCTTGTTGCTGGGTCGTGTGGGGGTTGCGTTCATTGAACGCCGCCTTTCCTTGTTGATCTTGTTTTTCATATTTTAATTTTTGTGTACTATTACTGTATCCAAAATTCTACTCATTGGCTATAATTACTGGAACCATCTTTTTACATCTGTTGTTTTTTTTTTGCTATAAGTACAATTAAATAAGTATTTTGTATGGAAGTAAAATACTATTGGTAATTTACACTTGATAGTACCGTTCATGAACAGGCTCAAACAAACCGAACCTACAACATTTTTAATTTTTTTCCGTTTTGGACTTTCTCTAGGGAGTCTTATTTTCCATATTCTACCGCCGCATCAGCGTTGTTTGTGCCTAGTGAAGGTTGTAAAAAGGTCTCGGTCTGGTGAATTTTCGTATGCTTTGTTCTATAGTAAATCAGTCACATTTAGGGTTAATTCTGGATTCCATTGTTCTTGATGAATTATATACTGTCTTCAACTTTAAACATCAATACTATCTTAGTCAAATGAGTCCCAAAATATAATAGGTTAGCCATCTACTTTTTTTTGAAATCTTCATTCTGATGATGTAACACTGTTAAAATTCACCACTTAAAAAACTCCTTACTGCTGGAGGGTAGTACATCTTTCATCCTTTCGCAAACAAATTAGTTCCTGGAGATTACACTAAAACAAACTTTGAAAGTCCTTATATTACACACAAAAACTACACATGCAATAATTACACTTTAGTTATGACCAATCTAACTAGAGATGACTTAAATTGGGCCACTTGGGTCGAATTCCGTACAGGGTTGAGACCTAAATAAATCCAAAATTTAAGTTGAGCAAAATTTATGCTCATTTCTTAGTAATTAAGTGTTATATTAGTACAATCATATAGGTTTGACAAATAACATTAATGCAGTTCAATTTCTTAAATATGAACCTTCATACGAAAAATCAGCCTCGGCCAAAAGAATTTTACACAAATATTAATATTAAACATTCTGTCATATATTTTGATTCTGTCGAATAAAGTTTAATGTTACCGGCTAATGTCAAATAGTTATTTTTATGAAAGAATAAGCCCTTATTGCTTTAAAATTGTAATATAAACTCCATTTCTTTAAATGGGTCGTGAGAGCATGACATTTTGGGTTAAAATACAAGAAATCACAATTAAATGTGTTCTTTACATAAAGTTTTCTTTCAATATTGTAATAAAACTTACTGATTATGGTTTTTACCATTATACCATGGAAAAGAACCAAGATATATACTCTACACTGTCTGTTTAAGACATCAATAAAGAGAAACAGAGGTAATCTTAAGGTTAGCAAAGAGGTTACCATATCACCATGGGCTATGTCTTCTGACAAAGTAAGATTAGCCAACACACATACAAATAAGGCTTAAAAATGATTGCACATACTGTCTCCCACTTTAAATCATTGAGAAGTCTTAATATAATCAAAATTAGAGAAATTTTCTCCTGATATACATCGAAATATTGCCTGAGCATTGGGAGTCGTTACCGTCAATAGCTGAAGTTTCAAACTAGATATAAGTCATAACCTACTCAACGTGTCCTGACAAAGCTGCTGCCAAACTGAGCTGATGGTGTTCTTCCATAGATCTTACCCAGTATAAGGTAAGGTCCTGCACTCAAACTTCGGCTTTAATAACAGCATGGTCTGAAAAAATATGCAACACTAGTACATTTCGAAGGAAATTAAAAGAGGCATTTATGCTGTAATTCTGATATCTAAAAAAGAAAGGAAAGAATGTCTTAATCAATCAATGGCTTAATTCACATAGGAGGGCTTAAATGTTATGTGCATTCCTGCATGAAAATAGAATGTATAATAGACATTATAAACCTAATCTCATCAAACTGCTATAGCAGCTACAACAACAACAATAACATCAACTTTGTTGTTCTAAATGAGCCAATTATCCATAAACTACACTGTTTAATGGCTAGAAAATCTCTGTTGTGCATATATTAGCAAATACATTCTGCAACACAGCAAAACATCAAGTTTCACTACACTGAAAATACCTTTTTCCAACATGTAAATCATATTTGTTCTGTTCAATTGTCAGTTCTGCTTCATTGAAATACAAGACAATAGTGAATATTTACAATCTGATTATTACAGCATCAATACTTTGCTGAAACATCAGTGCATAAAATGTGTGGTCCATATAAGCAATAGGCTACTATGGTGCTTGTTCGAATCCCATGACCGGTGCTTCTTGGGCCCCTAAGACTTCTGGAATGAGCTTGCCAATTACTTTTTTTACCAATGTAACCAGTCGGAAAACACCACTCCCCAATTCCTTGCAATGCAAGGCTCATCCATTTATCCATAATTTAAGATGCATTTCTCTAACAACTACTATTTGCTATATAAATCTAAAAAAAAATAAGCTATATATCTAGTAAATTGCTAAACACAAGGTGGAAAAATAAAATTTATCAATGTATTAACTGCTTTAAACAAAATTTAAATTTCAGTATTATTTCAATAAAATGTGAAGAATAATCCTTTAATTATGACAAATCTAACTAGAGCTTCAAACTTTTAAGAACTACTTTCTAGACTACAACGGGTTTGGTCTAATTCTGTACCGGGTTTAGACCAAAAGTCGCCCCGTACATTAAATTAGCGATTTTATATTTTCGATCCATAAAGATCGTTCAACACGACATTATTTATGTGTTGTGGTATTTTTCGATTGGGTTGTACCAATATTCCTACTTGCATAATGCTGAATCAGCCTCAGAATATGTCGCCTGTTCTTTAACTATTCTTTTGACGTCTTATCTTTGATTGGCAGGCTTCATAACCTCTGACTCCCTTTCAAAATTCCATTTCGTTTAGTTCAGCCCATTGCTTTCCCCTTTAATATTACCGTACGCCGCTTTTCATAGAATGGCACGGAAATGTCACATTGAAGGTTTCATGATAACCGCTGTATGAACACTTCTGTTCATAAGTTTTGCATTCTATTTTCAAATGAGAATTCTGCTTAAGCCAGTGCTAGGGGCGCGGACGATAGTTTGCACATGACAGTACCTTTCACGAACATGCTCAATTAAACCGAGCCGCCTGTAACACTTTCAATTTTGTCGTTTTGGACATTATTTAGGAATTCTTATTTCTCTCATTTGTTTACATTTTGCTCCATTTATGACAATAAATGTCACATTAATCGCTTCTTACTTCAGGTAACGAGCATTTTACATTCTCTTAAATCATTATTTTATATAAGATATATAAAATCATATTTGCTCTTTCTAAAAAGTAAAATGTGTTTATTTCTGAGGCATAATGTGCCTTTATCAATAAATTCAATCAGTTTATTTATTCTGTCACATCTGTTACATAAGATATAAATGTATAACAGAACGTGTTATGTTCTTTTAAACAATTTTAAGGACATGAAACCGAAGAAGCTTGGATCGGATTGGGTGATGCTGAAACGAAAATACATTCAAATGGGACGACTCGCAACAACTTGCCACATATACAAATTGGAGAACAAATGAACCGAATAATGGCGCAAGATTTACAGACGATGGCGCAAGAATTGCAGACGAAAATTGTGTTGAAATGAAAGCCAATAAAAAATGGAATGACAACCTCTGCAGTAATGAAATAAGCTTTTTTTGTGAACGTTCTCTTACAAGTAAGAAAAAAATATTAAATTTAAATATCATTTATGTAAACAGTCTTTTAAGGTGTAGCTTATGTAATTTGAATCAATCGCAATCAAGGTTAAGGAAAAGACTATAAGAATTTTACACCGGCTGCCGGTACAGACCGGAATATATATATAATACAGTATGCAATTGATCTAAGTTGCACATAAACAGCTTCTATTTTATCAAATCGAGATAATCAAAACGCTTAATACCAGTGCAGTATGTAACTCTCGGATCGACAATTTGATTTTTACTAATCTGTTAAGTAGAACCGCAGGATGCATTGTCAGGTTTCAAATGCTGGATTTTTGGCAACGAATAGTCTCCATATAAATGATGTATAACGATTAAATTGCAATACTAGTTGAAAGTTTGTATAAATGATATGTTTAATTTAGTTAGAGGAATTGATTAAGGTACGAAAATATTATTATCTATGGAAATGTTCGAATTATTACCGAGGTAAGAGATATTGCGAAACAGTACATAAATACGGCAAATCGAGCTCAGAAAATCAGCCAGCCCGCATAGCTCAATCGGTCTGAGCGCGAGACTTGTAATCTCGACATTGTAAGTTCGATATCCGGACTGGCCATCTAAATTTTCTAATCAGTTTTTCTGATAAGACTTTCAATCAGGTCCTGTGTATGAATGCTGAAACATTTAGCACGTAAAAGAACCAGGAGAAGTTTCTGAAATTGGGGCATCTTTCTGTATCTTGCACTATCTTCAAAAAATATATGACTAATACTCTTCTGGAGGACTTGCCCATAAGAGCAATCGGTGGCGAGTATAAATAAATGCAAATACACACATATAAAAAATCAGCTTTGTTGTAGGAGGCCGGAATGTGAAGATCGAAATATAAATAGAAGTAGTAATTATTAAAAGGTATTGGATTTATTAACAGAGAGAGACATAATATAGGGAATCCTTCTACAGTGAAAATACTTATAGCTTGCTAATTAAGTATCATCCTTACTTAAAGAAAACCCACTGTCTAAGATATGCTCGTGTGGTTCTTAGTTGTAAATCTATCTCAGAAAGGCATCAGACCTGAGCCTCACTACATACTCGAAGACATTTTTCTATGTGTTACGGGTCGTGGTATCTATACGAGCAAAATATTGAGACGGAATTGAGACTTATGTAACAGTTAATAAACAGTACCACAGTGTATTATATTATAAAGTTTCAGGAAGGATAAATATAAAACTTGTGGCGTCCGATAGTTTGATTTAGATTTAATTTGTTTAAAGATAATTTGTTTATAAGCTGAATCATTGTCCTAAGTATTTGTCAAAATCAATAAGCCAGATAGCTTAAGGAAAATTTTTAATATATTTTATTTTAAACAAATCAACAGCTAAGTGGATCAAGGAAAATTGCTTCATATATCTTCATGCCCTGAGATATAGGTAAATCTCATATCTATGGTCTGAGGTTAGAGTCAATGTATAAAAATTAACCGCTCGGCTCAAATACACTACACTATAAAAAAAAAGAAAAACATGGAAAGCTTTAATTAGACCTTACACTAACATGTAATAAGAATATAAGACATATCAGCCAATTAAATAAGTTACAAGCTTTACAATTAGGTAAGAAATGGTATGATAAACCTTTTTTCAAAACCACAGAAAATATCACAAGTGAATATGTACGATATGCCTGTTAGACATTTGGACTGTCTAATATATGTTTGATTTCACTCAATTTAAATGATAAATATCGTTACATTTGATTGAGACCAGTTTCTCAACTTCGCAGCGCATCACACTCATGTTACTTCTTGAGAGATAGCGGACCGATGCGCAGGAGAATATCAGATAAACGCTATATCACTTTCGTTTTCATGATATCTTTTGTTAACGATTATTTTATTACTCGAATTAAAAAAAGAACAAAATTATATAGTCAACACACGTGTACATTTTCTTCTCGCTACGCTTGTCCGAAAATAATGTATTTCTTAATTAGGTAATTGGTAAAAGAAAACAAAACGTTTGACGTTTACAGAATGCAGTGCGTAACTGATCGAGTGCAAAGAAGTATTTTAGTATTAAGATCCTAATATTAAGAAACTTAAAAAGTCTTTTTTCTAAATTATAATGGACTAAACCGTCAGATGCGGAATCTGATTTCTATCTACCATGTTTTTTTTTATAACATTTTCAATCCTACCGGGGTGAACTGTTAGCCAAGGCGGAAGTGCGTCCACTTCATAGACTGAGTAACCCAAGTATATATTAGTGTTCATCCGTGCTGTTCTACGTAAATTAGAAACTTCGACGGGAGCGATAGCGACAGCTACGGATGAATACTAGTTAACATATTTAGTGTCAAACTTAATTTGGCCTCATTAATAATCACTTTGTAACGTCACTACCATTCCGCTTTATAAAACAATTACTTGAATGTTGAGTTTAAATTTGACCTTATAAATATGCAAGATTTACGTCACTAAGCATGAAGTTTTGTTTCAGTTGGGAATATGGAGGACGGCATAATATGGCTGATGCGAGTTTTCATTTGCTCGATATGGAAATATTTATTTTCAACAAACATGTTTAATGAGTTAGACAACTGATTCTCAGTAGCTAATACCTGATATGATTTATACATAAATACACTAAATGGCATGTGTCAACATGAGGTCACGAAACGTATTTTCCAAAAACAGTATGTACTTTTACTTTCTGTCTACCGAATAAAAATAAAAAGTGAATAGACACATGTGACTTCTCTTAATTACATATTAATTTAAACATTTCTTACATTCGTAACAAAAAATATTAATTGACTTTTAGTATTGGTTTTTACTTTTACACGTGCAGTATCTGAACTGCATGTAAAGCGTTTAAATTAATGTAGGTTGACTTTTTGAGGTCCTTTTTCATTAATTAATATTCAAAAGCGTCCCACGAACACGCATGTGCAAATTTATGCAAATGACTATTTTAACAAACGCAGTTCTATGAAACACAATGAAAAATAGAAATCGAATATGAACGGTATTCGATAGAGTACTGACCTGTGTTCCTTTATGAAAATTCACGCACGGAATTTTTAATAAATACAGCGTTTTTATTGGATGTCAAATAACGTTGGACACTAAATTTAAATTTGTCTTCCCCTATACTATCTAAAACGTATCTGAACATTTCTCTAGCTCTAGTGTACGAAAGTGGAGTGCTAGAATCTACTATACCGTACCAACTAGTTTTATTTAAATATCTCAACTTAGTAAATAAAAATTCTTCGGAATGAAAATTGAGCCAGACAGAAGCAATATACTTTAAAAGCCAAGATACCGGACAGAGCTTTTGTTGTAATTTTGCGTTAATGACTTCAGAACCTAGTTTTTTTCTGATCTGATTTGCTATTTGAAACTTTAACACTGGCAAGTGTATTGTTAAAAGATAAATGATTCATTTTAAGATGGCTTATTTCATCATATCTAATAAATCCTGAAAATCCAAGAATGCATATAGTACAAATTCTACGCTTTTTAGTTGGGACGTAGTCCCAATTAGTGTACTTACAAACCCGACATTTCCAACCATACAGGGAACGCCCACTGCAGTGACGTTTCATCACCACTACATATGCTATATTGTATTCTAACATTTTTCAAGGAAGTTGAATTCATAATGATCATACGCCCATGACCGACGCATAACCGCCGCGAGTGAAAAATAGTGCTCTGTATTTCTGAAAACTTTTATTGTGAATAGAAGAAATTTATTTTTTGAAAATCAAGTGCAATTGAGCTTGAATTACGGTATTAGAAATGTAGCAGATATAATTTGAAAGGTCGATTAATTCTATGAATGGAATAGTAATTGGTTCATAGTAATTCTATGAATGAATCCGACAACTTCCGGTTTACTTTATGACCTACTTGACAAGCATATCGGCCTGTTTACCCATATGGTAAGTTTAAAAGCAAAATATGTTATGAATCTTATGAATAATAATAGTAAGTTTTTTTGTTGATGTCAGTTCGTTCCCGAGGACTAAAACTTTCGTAAATAATTTCGAAGTAATTTGGGAGATCTCGAGTCTATCGTCCCCAAGACATTTCGACCCTACCATAGCCTAGTCTCAATTTTAGACTGCATAACCGACAGATTTTACAAATTGATTTTACACAGATGTCTGCCTTTACAGGGGAAACCGGCATATACACCTACAATTTGTTGGTCTTGTCACGGCCGTAACGTCTGCAAAATGGGGCACATTCTTAAATATTTCAGAATAATTTTATTTTATCTTTCATGTTTATACATTCATTAAGTTATAAATTTATTTAATGAATAAAGGAATCCTATGAAAGATTAGAAAAATGATTTAACCCTCAATATGACCCATTTAGCTGTTAAATTTAGCCCCTGCAAATACTGCAGGGTCTTATGTAATTCAGACAATATTAGAGGTAGAAGCACTGTCCTATTATTTCTGACTAAACTCTTATTGATTGCTAATTGATTCTTCATACCCACAAATGACAAACGAGCATTATTGTCATTTTTTTATTTAACCCTTACCACGTAGTGATTTCCCCCTTTTTAAAGGCTGTTTAACCAGTAACCCAAAATAGGTATATTTTCCCCTGAAAATGCTAATATTTTCCCCTAAAACCCCTGTGCACATTATTCACTAGAAGGATGACTTAACATCAGCTATAAGACAGAAAGCTGTCCCTATATAGATAGCCTCTGCTATTACCATGCATGTTAAAGGAACCCCACTGAACTTTAAAAGCCTAAAAACATAACATTTGATTTTTTACATAAATGAGCTGGGGCACTTTAAACAGAAATATATGCAAAGATAGTTAAGAAATATACTTTGAAATAAATTGAACATATTTTTCAGCTTTTTTAGCCCAATTTGAGGGAAAAGCGTTTAAAAGCTTTTCATTTTGCATCATTTTTTTACAATTTGAATTATTGTTCTGGAAAAACGAAGTTCG